AATAATAAATGAATAAACAAACAAAAATAATGTGTGCCATAACTCAAAAGACGGTGAACACATCGAACAACCTAAAAAACACTGGACTCCGTTTGCCAATGCGAAGGAGTTAATGGCACATTTGAAATCACCTTTAAGACTCAGAACTAGCAGGTCTAACAGAGGCTGTCTGGTTATTAATGTTCTATGTTTGATTGTAACAGAATAACTATTAAGTGAAGGTTTTATCTGAGTCTAAAAAATCAACAGAAACATAAGCAAAACCTTAAGAAAGAGGAAAGAACTTTTTAACATGTAGATGACACATCTAGGCAATTCTAAATAAGGAAAATATAAATTTCAAATGGCTTTTATTACATTACTTTCATGTATTAAGGTTACTAAATCTTTTATACTAATACCTACAAAAATAAAGATTTCTATAAGACATTACTACACGTTCTTATCCAAATAGAAATCTCATTACTATAAATGTCATGGTAAACTGTTAACAAAAGAATGAATATAGTGCAAAGTACCAGGCAAAAAGCTAGGTGTATTACAGAAATCTTGTGATACCCACAAAAAAACCTGCGCGGTTGGTATTATTGTTATTTTACACAGAGCAAATGGAAGCTCAGACTGACAAGGCTGAAATGTAAGGGATAGAAAATGATGGGGCCAGATTATAATCCCAAATCTGTCAGTCTGCAAAACCCTACTACTCTCTGCTTATACTACACTCTGTACCTGTGTAATCCCAAACATAGCGAGCTTCAAACCCTAAAGCTCGGCAGCACAGGGTAAAACAATTGGCCCACTCGCCACACCGTCCACATCTTGTTTCCAAAAGTTTCTCAGGGTTATTATACCTGTTTAAAAAAACAAAAACAAACAAACAACAGATTCATTATCAAAATCAAGAATTAAAAAAATAACTTACATTACCTTTATGCTAATCAGTAACGATATTTCTTAATTTCCTATTCTTATTCATTCAATAAATATTGATTAAAGAGCCTAGGATATATGAAGCATTGTGTTAGAATTTATGGTGAAAAAAGATAAATTAGACAGTGGTCCTGCCTTGAAAGTTTACAGTCCAAAGAGAGAGAAGGCATTAACACAAATAACTATAATAAACGGCAGACTGTGAAACCAACCATCCAATAGGTCTGATTTAGTGTATGGGAAAATGACTGTGGAGAGAGAACTTGAATTTGAACTAGGCCTTGAAGGACGGCGAAGATTCAGACAGGCAGAGACTGTCTAGGAAATCTACTTTAAGCATTAGCATTGCTCTAGCAAGTGTATAAATTAGCTTATTATATTTTAAACTAAACAACTTTAACAATCTCAATAAAGATTTTAGCTTAGTTTAAATCAATTTTACTTAAAATGCAATCCTTTCTTTCCAATGATCATTAAAGTTTTATTCTCTTAAGTACTTAAAGGTACTTGCTAATTTGGAAGTTATTTTTTGAAATACATTTGCAACACTGTTTTAAAAAGTTACTCCAATTATAACTGGACTAATTTTAGCTGATCATTGGACATAAGATTCTGTCTCTCCTGGCTTCTGAATATCCAAGAACTGGCTCCTAGTCAGGGATAGAACTGAATCCCTCCACCCCCAAATGAGGTATTTCAAAAAGTTGGTATCTTTTCTTGCCTGATTACACAACCAAACTTTACAAGTATTTCCAATTTAAGAAAATCAGATAAGAGGTCTGTAAATTCAAGTATGAGAAAAGTTAATTGAAAAGGTCAGATTTCCTTGTCTTGAAATTTAGAGATACGAAAAAAAAGTTTTAGAGATGAAGCTAGGCTAGGATGGGTGAAGGAAGCACCTAATTAAAACAAACTTTTGCCTTTATAAAGAAAGTAATATGACCATATTATACTACACTGTTGTGTTGTTAGGTGCCATAGAGTCAGTTCTGACTCATAGTGACCCTACGTACAACACTTTCTGGTTCTGCGCCATCCTCACAATTGTTAAGCTTGAGCCCATTGTTGCAGCCACTGTGTCAATCCATCTTGTTGAGGGTCTTCCTCTTTTTCGCTGACCCTCTTCTTTACCAAGCATGATGTCCTTCTCCAGGGACTGATCCCTCCTGATAACATGTCCAAAGTATGTGAGACACAGTCTTGCCATCCTTGCTTCTAAGGAGCAATCTGACTATGTTTCTTCCAAGACAGATTTGTTTGTTCTTTGGACAGTCCACGGTATATTCAGTATTCTTCACCAACACCATAATTTAAAGGTGTCAATTCTTCTTCGGTCTTCCGTCTTCATTGTCCAGCTTTCAAATGCGTGTGAGGTAACTGAAAATACCATGACTTGGGTCAGGTGCATCTTAGTCTTCAAGGTGATATTTTTGCTTTCCAACACTTTAAAGAGGTCTTTTGCAGCAGATTTGCCCAATGTGATGCATCTTTTGATTTTCTGACTGCTGCTTCCATGGCCATTGACTGTGGATCCAAGTAAAATGAAATCCTTGACAACTTCAATCTTTTCTCTGTTTATCATGATGTTGTGAGGATTTTTGTTTTACGTTGAGGGGTAATCCATACTGAAGGCTGTGGTCTTTGATCTTCATCAGTAAGTGCTTCAAGCCCTCTTCACTTTCAGCAAGCAAGGTTGTGTCATCTGCATAACGCAGGTTGTTAATGAGTCTTCCAATCGTGATGCCCTGTTCTCCATACAGTCCAGCTTCGCGGATCATCTGCTCAGCATACAGACTGAATAAGAATGGTGAAACGATACAACCCTGACACGCACCTTCCCTGACTTTACACCACGCATCTGTCAGTTTGTCATACTGTGAGGGCTTGCGTGTTGCTATGATGCTGGAAACTATGCGACTGGTATTCAAATACCAGCGGGGTCACCCATAGTGGACAGGTTTCAGCTGAGCTTCCAGACTAATACAGACTAGGAAGAAGGACCTGGTGGTCTACTTCTGAAAAGAATTAGCCAGTGAAAACCTTATATTATACTATACTTTTACCTTATAGCTGATGATTATTTTCAGTACAGTACTATAATTACTATCACAATTAACAGTATCCTATTATTAGAATTATTATTGTCATTCAAGGTTAAAAACTACATATTAAAAGAAAAATAAATGATTTATAATATAAAATTTGCTACGACAATACTCACATGCCCTTGTGGCACAATGGTTAAGTGCCTGGCTGCTAACCAAAAGATCAGCAGTTCAAACCCACCAGTGGCCTCACTGGAAAAATTTCAACCTAAGAAACCCTATAGGGAGTTCTACTCTGTCCTACAGGGTCGCTATGAGTCAGAATCGACTCAACAGTACACAACAGCAACAACGTGACAATACTCAAATTATATTCTAGAGTAAACCAGCTGCCATCAAGTCGATTATAATTTCACAGAGACCTCATACGTGTCAGAGCAGAAATGTGCTCTATATTCTTGAGTAGAAGTCAACCAACTTTCCCTGTGAAAGGACAGACAGTAACTGTTTTAGATTTTGTGGGCCACACCGGTCTCTGTCACCAGTATTCAACTCTACTGTTGTACCATGAAAACAATCACAGACAATATGTAAACCAATCAGCATGTCTGTGCTCCAATAAAACTTCACTTACAAAAGCAGGTGATGGGCTGGATTTAACCTGCAGCGCACAGTTTGCAAACCTCTGTTCTAGAGGAATATATTTCTAATAATTAAAACCAAGATAAAAAGTTCATTTAATAAAAATTTAATAAAAACTCACTTCTAACCTTTCATTAAAAAATTACTATGAATTTTTGTCCTGTGTGTACCCACCTTGGGAATCGATTGCTGAACTGGCATGCATCACAGTAATGATCTTCTACTCTGTTTGCACCCCACTTCAGATCATCGTCACTGGGGGGTAACGAGTCACGTCTAGACCTAGTCTGGCCACCACATTTGCTGCACAAAATGTTATTCACCCAGTGAAAAAATTCTTCCTTAAACCAATGCAAAAGCTCCAGCAAAAGAAAATCCTCATCATTTACAATAGTACCTGAGAAGTTAAAGCAGAACCAAGTAAGATCTACAGCTGACAAAAACTAATAGTCACTATTTCAGTAGCAAAATATTTACACATTTTATTCTCAAGTGTGAGGCTGAAATACATAAAAATGAAGATTATCTAAAAGGTTTTCCCAAATAAGATGCAAGAACAAATTATCAGTGTATTGTGAACCAGGATGAAATACAATGACAGGTGTGACTGTACATTGAAAACAGGTGGGTGTTTATCACTTTGTAACCTCTAATCAACATTATGCAGTAACATGTGAGCTGAACATAATGTTCTCTCGAGCCACTATGATCAGTTTAGAAGTGATCCTGAAGCACATCAGAGTGTAGGAAAACAGATCTTATTTTTTAAAATGTTTAAAAATGATTAATATTAAATTTGCTTTTGGGTATATACACAAGTAAACACAAAACAATTATAAAATTGTAGGTAGAAATCACAGCATACCAGATACTCGTAATTGTTCTATTAGCTTTTCTATCAGTGCTTCAACTGTACAATACAATCCAGCCATGGATACTTACCCTATAACATGCAGAACTACAATCATGTCTACACTGTGTATAACAACCCTAGCAAGTAAGCAGGACAGATGGGATTATATTCATTTTATCAAATAAAAAAACGACTTGACCATATTCAATATTATGCTTACCTATGGGGAAGGAGGGAAGGAGAGGGGAACGGGCCTAGGAAGACATACACAGGGGCTCTATCATTAATGTGTTATTATTAAAAAGTAATAAAACATAAACGAAGGAAATATATGGCATAATGTTGGGATCTAATAAAGTTTGATGTTGGTTATAGGTGTTTGATATATTCTATTCTTGTATTTAATGTTTGATATATTTCAAAATAATAAAAACTATACAAAAAAACTTTACACAGAACATAAAAAGGACAGAAAGAACAGAGATATACAATATTCCTGGAATGGAAAACTCAATAATCTAAAGGTGTTAATTCTCCACAAATTTAATGTATAAATTAATGCAATCCCAGTTAAAACTACAGAATAGTTTTTCATAAAATTGGACAAGCTAACTACAAAATTCACGCAGAAGATAAAATGTACAAAACAGGTTAGACAATCTTGATTAAGAACCATAAGGTATATTCCTCTACTATACAGTAAAACAAATTACAAAATTCTATTAATCAAAATATTGTGATATTGGTGAACAGACAAACAGATCAACGAAACAAAACAAAGTTCTGAAAGATGGATGTCTAAATGGGAACACATTATTTAATAAAGTTAGCCTTTCAAAGCAATTCTAACAGGATGGACTATTCAATAAATTATACTGGGATAAAAAGCTATCCAGATATCACTGGATTAAATTCATTCATTAAAACAATATTTACTTTACCTATATATTACTATGAATACATATATACGGAAGGAACTCTATAAAAGGAGTAGTAGAAGACAGAGGGGAATATGCTTACGAGTTTGGTATAGGGAAAATCTTAAGTTAGATGCAAATTGCTGTTGTGTCTTGCTGAGTCAATTTCAACTCATAGCGACCCTATAAGACAGAGCAGAACAGCCCCATAGGGTTTCCTAGGCTGTGATCTTAATAAGAACAGATTGTCAGGTCTTTTCTCCCGTGAAGCTATTAGTGGGTTTGAACTGCCAACCTTTCAGTTACCAACCGAGTGCTTAACCATTGTGCCACCAGGGCTCCTTAGAAGATAGGCTAAATAGAATTAAACAAGGAATACTGGGAGGATAGAGATAAAGAAAATATAAAGAACTGCTATAAACCACAAAGAATATTAATAAACCCACTAGGAAAATTCATAAAGACCATAAAAAAATTCAATAATTTCATTAAGGGGGGAAAAATACTCTTCTTGTATAAACTGGAAGACAATCTGGCAGGACCCATTAACATATAAAAAGTCACATACCCTTGACACTTTTGGTATTTTGCCCAGAAAAGAATCTTGCTCATGTGTACCAGGAGGCATGCTTTGTAAGAATGTTTACTTCAACAGTGTTTACAATAGAAAAAAAAAAAGTAAAAAATCTTAATGCCTAACAATAGGAAGCTCTTTAAATAATAGTATATGCATACTGTAGAACATTATGAAGAAGTTAAAAGGATTTCTAAGATATATTAATAAATAAAAAATGTCAAGGAGCTGAACATACATGGGTTGATATTAAACTATTCCTATAGGTAACTATTTATGAGTGCAAATGCATAGGAAAAGATACGTAAAGAAACACATCACTTGATAACAGCTGATATTGCTGGAAAGTGAAGTAGGACTCACAGGGAGAGTTCAGCTTGTCCTGTAGAATACTGAAGTTTTCCAAAAAGAAGATATTCATGAATTCTTACAAAATTAAAAATGAATTTTTAGAAATACAACATTGTCATCCTCTTCCTCAGTCTAGTCTTCATAGCACCTGAGTGATCTTTTTAGAAATGCTAGGCAGATCATGTTACCAAAACCCTCCAAGGGTTTTCCATCTCTTTAGAGTAAAAGTCAAAGTCCCTACTCTTATTCTTTCAGTTGGCTCCATGTGGTAGGCTGAAAACGACCCCCACCCCAAAGATATCCATGTCCTAATCCCTGAAACCTATAAATGTTACCTTACATGGCCAAAAAAGGGGGGGGGGTGGTATCTTTGCAGATGTGATTAAAGATTTTGAGGTAGGGAGATTATCATGGATTATCCAAGTGGGCCCTAAATGCATCACATTTATCCTTACAAAACGGAATTAGAGGGACAGTTTGCACACACTGAGGAGAAAGGGATACAAAGAGGAAGCAGAGAGAGATTTGAAGATGCCAGCACTGGAAATGAGAGTGATGTGGCTTCAAGCCAAGGAATGCTAGCAGTAACCAGAAGCTGAAAGAGACAAGGAAGAGATTCTCCCCTAGAGCCTCGGGAGGGAGCATGGCCCCACTGACATCTCAATGTCAATGTTCAGAATTGGTGAGAGAATAAACTTCTGCTGTTTTAAGTTACCAAACCTGTGGTAATCTGTCACAACAGCCACAGGAAACAAATACACCCCCTTACCTAATGCTGATGTGAGAATCCACCTCTTTCTGTCTTGTTCATTCTGTTACAGCCACTATGTCCTCCTCTCTGTCATACCTGAATATGCCAAGGTCACTCATCTCAGGGGGCCTTTGCAACTGCTAGTGCCCTCTGCCTGAAAGGGAAGTCATCATTTACCAGAGAGACCCTTCCTGACAACGTTCTATAAAACAGCATGCTTCCTAGCCCCCCTCTATTATCCTGATTTGTCTTCCTGACTCATATCTACCTGACATATATACCCATTTGTATCATTTTTTTTGGTCTGTCTCTCCATGATAGCTGGGACTTTGTTTTATTATTGTATCTTCAACACTTAAAGCTATGCTTGGTACACAGGAAGTGCTCAGTAAATATCGGCTGAAGAAAGGACTGAACAAGCTTCAAAATGCTACTTAGAAATGATATTCTTCACTAAATAGTCATTATCAAGATGGAAATCATTATCAAGAAGGGAAAGGAAGTCAGAAAACTTACACGTCCATGTTACAAGTACGCCAGGTATAAATCAGCATGTTTCCAGCTAGAAATACGAATATCCCACAAAGAGTAAGGCCCATTTGAGGAAATTAGTGTTCCTTGGTGAGGCAACATCCTTAGTTACGGCTCAGAGAAATGAGAGTGGATTCCTGTCTGTACAGGACAGAAGTTCAGACACCTCAGACATACGGGGGTTGAAGGGAAGTTGGACTTTGATGCTAAATTCTGTCAAGATAATATTTACAGCATAGAGAGTTTTTTTAAAAAAAAATATAATCAGGATGTCGAATTTCTAAATATAACATCTTCAAAAATACCACATACATATAAATAGATTACTAGTAACTTTTCTGTGACAAAAATAAAGTTAACAACTTTTGGCCCTAACCCTACTCTATAAAAACCACCAACATCAGTGTGCAAAACAGAGAGAATGAGAAGAAAACAGGTAAAAACCTCAGCAGAGGTAGTCTTATCCTTAGACACTTCATGGTTTCTCCTTTATGACTCAATATTCTGTCCCCCACCCCTGTGTCTTCATACTCAATTTAGGAGGCCAAAGTATATTTTGTTACCACTTTTCCAAAATGACAGAGTTTTTCCTCTTCTGAAAGGTATTTTACCTGTATCTGGAACACTCAATCAGGACAAAGCTTCAGCCTTCCAGACCAGAGCTACCAAACCTGCTTCTCTGAGACTTAACCATCTCTGGAGGTGCCTCCGTGGGCAGGGCTCCAAGGTCCCCACGTCTGCTTGAAACCAGAATACTTTTTCTAGTTTATATACTTAAAATAAGATTTCATCTGGGAAGGAAAAACAAAAATTCCACTGCATAAAACGAACGAAAAAAACCCCACTAACCTGGCCAGTGGAGGCTTTGTTACCATCTCAGTGCCAGCGAATCACTGGGACAGAGACTGCCAGCTGCCACACGATATCCACTAGCTACTTCTTCCTTATTTACAGAATTCCAGCTGACTTGGGATAACAATGCACCAGCTAAAAGGCTACAGGTCCAAGCCTCTTTTGCAGCTAAGTGAGGCCAAGTGATTAAGCTTTTAGTGAGACTTCAAAAAAAGCTGTCGCAAAAAAAGAGGCTCAGTTTACAGGTATAACTTATTGCTTTTTCACCCTTCTTCCTGATGCCTGGTTTACAGATGTAATAGCTTTAACAGCTATCTCAGACTATGAAGTGACCTAGAGGATGGAAACCATGTATGGAAGAACCAAAAGGCAGAAGGTACCTAGGTCTCTGATGAGGTCTTAGAGCTCACCACCACTACCAGACTGCCTATGTCCATAATATCTCACATGCGGAAAGAAGCTCTAAGCCACTGGGACAAGTTACTATTACTCACAGTCCAACCTAACCTTAATATACTCATTATGCCTACCACACCTGTCTTAGGCTGTATATATACATATATAGAAA